AGTATATGAAACTTGGCTCCAGATCAGCTAAATGACAACATTGTTCCTGTTTTTAAAACACGTAGTATATCCTCCATCTGAAATTCAGATATTACCAGAATAATGTCACTAGGTGATGAAGTGAGAAATTATAATTAATTACTAGCCAATCTCTAGTTGTTTTGATTACAGTTAAGTCGGATGTTGCTTCAGATGTACTCGGGTACTGAAAGGATTTGAAAAACCTTTTGTGAGTGATGTACTCAAGAAGGTGTTTTTTGGATACTAGAAAGTATTTTTGACAAATATAAAACATGATTTTGTTCTCATGCACAGCTTTATTTGTGCAATGGTATGTAACCTGCAGTTGTTGCACCTGTAGACAGCCTTTAAAATGCATCTAATTGCTTAATTTCTCCCGTCAGTTACTTACATGGATGATGTTGATGCAGAAGTTTCAGTTAGCTTCATAGTTATAGTTTATTGGCTGTCATTCCTCAAACAATTTCCATTACTGGTTAGTGGGCAGGGCTTTAAGAAAAAATGTTTGTTTAGTTTGATATGTGAATAGTCAGTTTTGCTGCTAATTTTATTAAAGAAGCATTGTGTATCTGCCTCCCCACTCCAAATTGTGCTGGTGGTCATCACTCTTAAAAAGAGGCAACATGGAAGTGCATCCTGATAAGTATGTATAATTGGATTGCAGAGAACTATACTGACGTATTTTCAGTTGTGTTCTGTTACTTTGTTAAGCCTCTTCATTCAGCTGCTAGAGTGACTGCTGTTGTAAGCCCCCAAACTCGAGCTTGGGTTTCTCGTTGAGAAACAGGGTTTTGCTGGAAAATATTTCAACCCACAGGCAGGGAGGTAAAACAAATGTTAAAATTTACATTACTCAAATGTTATAATGTAAAAATATTTTATTTTTAGCATTACATGCACAATTTAGTGAGACAAGATGATAGCAAAATATTTGTGGAAGCGTTTTGAGTGATTTAATTTGGTTCCTTTTGCTCTTTTTCTCTGATTAGCCAATTTTTGTTTGGTCATTCCTGCATCTCTCAATTTTTGTTTGCGAATTTCACAGTTGGAGAATGTACCAAAGTGGCCCATGAACTGTGACCAACAGTTGCCAAGCATGCCCAAAGTGACACTTCTAACAAATATGTACACTTATGGATTTGGGGATGGAGAGGCATACTTCAGCAATCTGTTGGATAGAGACATTAAATGTGAAGACTGTGGTTAACATTACTTGAATTGCAGAACAACAAGCATCACGAGGTGGGAAAGTCTATTTCTGCACAATGTGTGACAAATGTTAAGGGACCCTCGTTTTCAGAACTCATCAGTGTTAGGAGGATTATACTATTGTCACTAAACTTTGCAGGTACTAGAAAATCCTTCAGGAAAGGACTTCAAATGGACTGTGATAGAGTCATGTGACGTGAAAAATTGCTTCAAATTTTGCAAAGAGCCAGTGCCATCTACAGGTATAGTGAATGATTACAGCTAGGTGTGAATCCAGTTAATATAGTAAATGCCACAGGAATTGCCTGCAGCTGACTGGACAGACTTTAATACTTGATGTAAAATGATTTGTGGGGTTGTGCACCATTAGTTAAAGAATATAGTCAGATAGGCATGCGTCTGATCTCTTAGAATTGCTTTTTAAAAATACTTTGTGTCCCATAATTTATTTTTGCTTTTCTTTTGATTCTCCTCTTCTATTTCTGTTTTCACCTTTTGGTTTGCCTGGTGGAGAAATGAGTCACCAGTGGCTGCATGCTGCATTTATAAAGGGGATTAAAAATCACCAGTGGTTTCCTTCCCATTCCCCAAGCACTTGAAACTTTCTCATAGTTTTTCTTCTACCAATTCCCTTTGGTCCCAACACAACACATCTGCTATTCCTTCACCTTCCTACTATCTTCCAATTCCTTTCACCCCCTCACTTTCCATTGCTGCTTGACCCTGACCCCTTTAAACTACCTGTTCAATCCTCCTCCTTGTTCAACTGTCATGCAGCTGAAAAGGAAGAAAGAGTTTGTTTTTGTTTTGTTTAGTACATCCCAAAACATTTCACGGGCAATTCAGTAATTTTTGGTCAATCAGGTCCTAAAAACACTAAGAAGTAAATTGTTGACGATCGAATTACTGAGAGGAGAAATGGCAAAAGAAATGTTTTTAAAAAGAAAAATTGGTTTGTGGGAACCCGTTGCCTCGATTGTGCAATTACAGTGACGATTTTACACTTGTGCCCATGACAAATATGGACATAGATATTTACTAGCTTAAAAAGTTGAAACAAAATGCATGCCAAAAGCATTACAGCCAGAAGTCAAGTTATGCAGACTGGAGAGTAATAGTTTAGAACTCACCCAATCTCTCTCCCTCTCTTTGTCCGCCTCCAGTTCATCTCTCCGTCTCCCACCTTTGGTACAAGAACATGGTAGTTTCAGGCTGTAATTTGATTATCTGTCAATCAGTGTTTGGCCTCCACCATATACGAACAAGGAACAAGAGTAGGCCATTTGGCCCTTTTGAGTCTGTTAGCCATTCAAAACGATCATGACTGATCTGATTTTAACCTCAACTCTCGACAGTCCCGCATACCCCCAATAATCTTTCACCCCCTTGGTAACCAAGAATCTATT